CGCTATTTTGACGCAAAGCTTAAGTTAGTTCTATAGTAAAGTAGGTTTTAAAAAGTTTGAACGCTACTTAAGTTTATAATTCATAAAAAATACAAAGTTATTAGATTTGTTAATTGTTGCAATAGTGTTGATTTTTACCTTCTAACTACTATTTTTTTTGTGATATAACTCCTTTAAAAACTTTATATATATCTCTAAAGTCACAATCTATAAGGCTATCCCAGTAGTTAAAAAATGTAGATAACCAGACATTAATGACTTATTTAAACTCGCCTACCTTCAAACCCTCTTTTAAATGAACTAGCTTATTTACATAAAATTTTATCGGCCGTTACATTGACTAAATGAATTTGTCGCTATTCTAGAGAACCTCCTTTACTCAGGAATTTACGAAGCTGACCTCTGATTTCATGACTATGCATTGAACGAATATAGTGCTATCAAAAAGGCAGGAGCGATAGCTTTTTTCATGGCTTTCATTTAAACTCATTTTTTTATCTTCTGCCAGCCTTTTATTCCAAAATATAATATATTATTAAACATTTAGTTAACTAGTATATCACAGACTGCAAGGATTTATAATATACATTATTGGAAACTTAAGTCACGCTAATAATTAGTTAGATAAGTAAATAGTCTCCTCTCTAGCACAACGTTTAACAAAAAACAAGAATCTCATAGTGTACGAGTCATCCTTCTTTTTATAGCGTTGAACCCTAGATCGTGTGGAACCTTTAAACTGAGCTATGTACAGTTATAGAATATAAGGGTTTAACAGCTTATCTCTTCAAGGAATTATATGTACTTTTAATATAAATCAGTGACTAGACAACAAGAGGCACCAACAACGGAACCCAACTCCCTAACTCTCTACCTTATTTTTACTATTATTATTAATGGGCATTCCTGGTGCTTGCTCCTAATTTACGAACTTTCAACAGAGTGATGACATACAATTAGGTTTAAGCTTGCATTAAAGCAATGTCAGGCGTTAACTAAGCCCGTTGGGCGGTCAACGATAGCGTGCACCACAGCAAAATTTATATAACGGCCAACGTATGGGCTCAACAATCTTTAAATGTTAACACATACCAAAAATTATTTTTTTTTAAAAGGATTGCTTAACTATTTAATTTTTAGTCCCCTAAAACAGATGAAGTTATAATATAAACAATTTAAAAAAATTAATATATCTTAATTATAAGTTTTCATTTTAATAAACTTAGAGGTCACCGGTTCCCATTTCTAGCCTGTAAGCTGGCCTATTTAAATTTATTGCCTTTACATAGTAAAATCTTTGAAATTGTTAAAAATTTTTAAAACTTTTGAAAAAAGGTAATGCCACGATATATTAACAGACTATAGAGCTGATTTACCGTAGTTTGTAAAATTACAAAAATTCTGGTAAAATTATTAGAAATAGTGTGAACACTCTAAAACTCTGTTGACCCGGTTATATTTCATCAAAAATGAGGGGTTTACTCAAGTTTCTAAATTTTTTCTATTTTTTTAAAATTTTTTATTATTATATTAAAATAATCAAATATATAAAATACTATTTATTGTAATAGATCTTGTTTACGGGCGTATATTATGATTACTTACATTATCATGATGCAATAATTTAAAAAACGCTCCAAAAATTTTAACTTTTTAATAGCACGTGGAACCAGAGATCGTGTAATTTGTTAGTTTTGTTAGAGACATTTTTGCAAGGTGTCCAGTTCTCCAGCTTTGAAGCGCTTTATTCCATTTACTCTTATCAACTAGTTATTACTGTCGTGGTGTTCCTTATTGCATCCTATATATTGCTGCCTAAAATTAGTAAAATAAAAATTAATATAATAAAATAATTTATCAAGTGAGTTAAGCGCTTACATATGAATAGCAATAATGTTTAACAAAGATTTTTCTAATTAGTTAGTTAAATAGTTTTTAGACTTCTCGCATTGCACTATGGCGCAAACAAAGACGCGCCGTATCCCAAAACAAGAGAGATTTATTAAATTTAGTACGTAGCACGCCGTAGATATGCTCCTACACGCTTAAATATATACAAATACACAAATCAAAGACAGTGACTAGGCTTTTGCAAGCACGTGTTACCAAACATATTGAATGTTCCTAAATCTTTCATGCACAATTAAATTACTAAAAATAAAATGTTCAAATAATACTAGTTAAACTATATAAGTATAAATTACGCAAACAAGAGCTCTCATTTTTTTAAAGCGGGAAGCTTTTACTGGTTTAATAGGTTTTTGGCTAAATCTTTAACATAAAATAACTTTAATAGGAGATTGTTGGTTTTTTTAACATTTTGGTAACCTGTGTGTAACGAAATGCAAGGGCCAACTTACATTGTAAGCTTTTAACTTTAATACACTGACTTTCTCTGTTATAATACCTATTTTTAAAATGAAAAACAAATTAAAGTTTAAAGATTCTTAATGTTAAAAAAAAAAACTATCCGTATTTCAGTTCGTTGTTAAAGTTGCGAATCAATGGTTTTTCTCACATAAATTTTGGTGATATGGCGCTAAAAGTGTTTTTAAATAGCCATGTCTCAATAGAAGTACCTAAAGCACTTATGAATACAAAGTTTAAAACATACGGCTTCGTACTATAGAATTAATAAATGACGGACTATTATAAAATTAATTTAAAATTTACGATGGTAAAAAGTTAAATTCATGAATGACTGCTACTTTTATATAATGCGGGTGAACTTTAAATAGCTACTTCTTCAGCCTTTAGAAAGAAGCCTCTGAGGTTATAAAAGGGATAACTGTAACTTTTTTGTACTTCTGTAAAGTACAATCTTTGATATGGGCATGAAAGTAAAAATCCATTGTGCAAAAAAGGAAGGTTGTACCATGTAACATTTCTTTTATATACAAATAAGCTCAAATTTTTAGTAGTTTAGATAACAGTACATCACACTTAAGCTAAAAGATGGATAAAAATGCGCCAAACTATGAGCTGTAATCATATATCCGGAGAATTCTGCTAAGAACAGAAAACCAAAGCAAAAAATACCGGGCTGAGTCCTTATAATAAAAACTATAATCTTCATTTATAACCCACAAAAAAAATTTAAGATGTAAATTGGCGATTTCAAAGACTACCTTTAAAAATAATAAATTTTACTCTATAAATTTTTACTTAAAATACCCAAACCTATGTATTATTAAGAAAATTCAATTAAAGATGCTACCGATAATGGGGGCTGCAGTTATGAAGCGCAAAGTGGCCTTAAATTTGGGGCACTACAAGATTCTATAGAAGAGGTACTCGTATATTATAATATTACTTATAAAAAGTACTCTGAAACCAAAACTACTGTACAAAATCATGTACTTTTATAAACTTTAGTCAACGTAAAGCTCTAAAAGGCGCAAAAGCGGACCATAAGCGAGAAAAATAGTCGAAGTGTAGAAAAACTAATGGGTCGCTCACACCCCACTTTTTTTTAAAAAACAACATTGGCTTACTACGGTCAGTCTTTAAAATTATTATAATTTACTATATCTGTGTTCGCTTTTTCGATGAGTTAGAGCACAATCAAAAAAAGGCTTGTTAAGTAAAAAGAAAGGGAGTTTTGAGGTATACTTTTTTTTAATAGACTTCATCCTTATAAGGATTTATGGCTTAACCTGCCCACCAGTGTATTTTCTCGAAGAACCCAGAAAGCACACATTTAACTATTGAATAAAAGTAGCGCAGCCTCGCACATTTTTTATGTATATGCGAATGCGTGCTGTAAAGAACTTAAAGTTTCTAAAAGATATAAAGTTATAAGTTAGATTGACTTTTATTAACTAACATTTAGTTATTATCAATCATATTTACTAAATTTAATTTAGATAAAAAAAAATTTAGGTTTTTTTCCAATAATGAGTTCCAAAGAAATTTTTAGTGGTTAAAATGGTCTCCATACTTGAAGATGATAGAAATAGATTTTCTAATGCTCTATCGAGAGTTAAAAAACTTTGGAAACTTCAGTTTTTGAACAGGAATAGTCTTCATTTATTATTAGTACATTCCTTTGGCAAATATTAAAAGTTAAGGGAAGCTTGTAAGATAACAATGTTCTTAATAACGCATTGTAACAAAATTAATATTTTTAACTTAGGCCCCCCTTTAGTAAGATTTCATTTTGTAAAAGCTACTCGATTTTAATATAAAAAATTGGTTTTCTCCTGATCTGCTAAGCTTTAACTCTATATTTAACTTATTAAAAATAAAAAATCAAAGCTGCTAAATTTTTATTTTTTTTATAGCAAAATACCTAAAATATTAAATTAAAAGCAAAAAACGTTAACTGTGTTACGTGCTAGTACAAAGCAGTTTCTAATAAAGTACAATTAAAAATAATTAAGGGTAAAAACAATATTAATTAGGCCTGTTACTAAAATTTATGTAATGAGTGTCCTTTAAAATATTACTTAAAATAACTTTATGTTAAAATTTAGAAAAAGTTCAAACAGTTATATATTAATTTTTCACCTTATAGATTTGAACTCGCGAGTAAACTTTAATTATATTTAAAAAGTTTTTTAGGTAAAACTGATAGTTTCTTTATCCACTAATTCAAATTGTAGAAGTAGCAAAAAAGCATATATCAAAAGTTTTTCCTCTTAAAAAAAACTATGTTAAATAAAATAAAAAGTGACAAATAAACCCAAAATATAAAAGCATTTAAATTTATCATTTATATGTTTTATACCCTTAAGTAAGTAAAAAGGTAAAAGCACATTAAAAAGTTATATAAAAATAATTTATGTGAAAGAAAAAATGATAAAAACTTTTATCTTTCACATGTGACAAACACTATAAAATTATACTGAAGTTTAACTATTTAGCTATTGGCTGTTTCAGGGCGGTCAAAAGTGAAACAGTTGAATTTTTTTTTTATTGCTAATTAAAAGGATCTTAAAAAGTTTTTTTTTTAAACAATTTAAAATTTTTAAATGCATATTAATTTTTTTGTTTTGTTTTGATTACTAGAAATTTTAGTTTCTTATTTGCATAAAAAATATGCAAGTAAGTAAAAATTTACCAAAAATTATAGGTATACCTTATATTTTTGCTATATTTCTATCAATATATTCAAAAAGAATATAAAAATATAAGAGGCTCCTACTGAAAAGAGAGAATCTTTATTTATGGAAAAGCTAGAGCAATGCTGTGTACTTTTCGACTTCTCTAATCCACTTTTTCATTTGGAAGCAATGGAAATCAAACGGGCAACTCTTCGAGAAATATGCGAGTATATGAAGATGGCCAGTACAATAACTCCAAATATATATCCGTACATTGTTAAAATGGTCTAAAGCTATTTTTTATTATCTTTACACTTTTTTATATTTAGATTTAGATTATTTTAATTTTTTAAAGTTATAAGATAACTTAACTGTTATATTATAATTATTTTTATGATATGCTTTACTATATTTTATATCTATATTTTTGTATAATTTCAAATTCTTAATAACAATGTTATGCATTAGATCTTATTAGTTAATTATTAAATTTTTCGAGCATTTTATATAATGTAGTGTTGGCGTTAATAAAAATTATTTTTTTTTTCAATTTTTTTTTTAGCAACCCGTTTTTGTTATTTTAAATAATTAAATTTTTTTCAAATTTCTAATATTTTTTAATTAGCGGAATTTGTAGAAAAAATTTATGAGCTTATCTTTTTTGCTCTTTGCGGCTTTATTTTTTTATTATCAATAAAGTCTCTAATTTAGTTATTTAAAAAATTGTTTTAAAATTTTAAACTACTCTTTTAGGCATTTTTTATTAATTATAAAATCGTTTCTATAATTTTTCCCTTTTTAATTATTTATGACATTAAATTTTTTTCTAACAGTTAGCTTGTAATCTTTTTCGTTCCTTGACTTCAACAACATATTTAAAAAGAGAAACTTTTGAAGCGGATGAAGACGAGCCTGTTATGGACGCCGCGTGGCCTCATAGGATGGTTCGTCCTTTTTCATTATAATGAACAATTGAATATTCTTATGGAAATCTATAAAGCTCGTTTATGAATGCTTTATTTGCTTTCTCACTTCCAACGAATTTTCTACTGAAATTGCAAAGGAATATATCAATAAACCTTTTATTATAAAAGTATATAAATATTATTATAATTATTATATAATTACTATTATTTATAATTAATTTTATATTTATTTTAATTTTAAATATTATTAAATTTCCTATAATAATTACACTTTAAATTTTTACTATTATTATTAATAATTACAATTAAATTTACAATTATTAATTACAATAATTATTAAGGTTACTATCATTTATTTACAAATCTTATTAAATTTATTTGCTTGCCAGCTGCTAATGCTTTTTGATAGTGAAGATCCACGTGAGCGAGACCATCTAAAAACTACAGTGCATCGACTTTACGGGAAATTTTTAGTCTACCGTTCGTTTATACGGAAGTGCATCAATAATATTTTCCATCAATTCGTCTACGAAACGGAGCGCCACCACGGCATTTTCGAGCTGCTCGAGATATTAGGAAGGTTCGTTCGCTTCGGGTGGGGCTCGGTTTGATACGTAGTGGTGAGCGTTTATTTAAAAAAAAAGGGCCTTGACTTTACTATTATAAAAATTTTTATTTTTATTTTATTTAAGAATTTCACTTTTTTTGTATTTTTTTAATTATATTTTTGGTTATTAAAGACACTACTTCAAAAAAAATAATCAAATTTTTTGAATATTTTTATTGACCTTCACTTTCTTTTATGTAAATTTTTTAATATTTTTTTATGAATTTTCTTCCATTAATTTTTTTACAATATTTTTATGGGAGTGTATATTATTAACGAGTTTACTTTTTTCAATAAAACTGAGCTCCACTAAGCTATTTTCGAGCTGCTCGAACTATGAATGAAAATTCGTTTCGTTTCGTTTTAATCGGCTCGGTCCGTGGGTGCGCGAATTTTACTAGAGAAATATTATATATACTTGTTATCACGTGGAGTTTAACGAGTTTTACTTTTATATTATTTTTTTTAGTATATATTTTTGTATAAATTAATTATTTTGGCCCATTAAGTTAAGTTATTATGCTTATTACTATTTTCCGCAAAATCCACGTATTTAACTTTATGCGTTACCAATTTTGTGGCTTATTTCTACCCTCTTAAATTAAAAGGCTGTTTTTACTGTTTGTATGACTTTTTATATTTGGTTAATAAGTTGCCTGTGTATATTAACTGGTTCAGTTTGTACTTGTTTATGGGCGCTTTTGATCATTAATTATTATAATTATTATTATTATTATTATTACTATTATTATTATTATTATTATATAAACAGTATCATAAACGGATTTGCTTTACCATTAAAAGAAGAGCATAAAATATTTCTCATGCGCGTCTTGATGCCTTTACATAAAGTTATTTCTTTTTTTATTGGTTCAATTGTTTCAACTCTTATAGCGATTAGCTATACTTTTATAATAATATTTTAATATTTTTTAGGCAAACAATATTATTTGTTATCACAATCAACTTGCTTACTGCGTTGTTCAGTTTTTAGAAAAAGTATATACTTTTTTGTTATAAAAAAGTAAATATTATAGTAAAAAGTTTTACTTTAAGACATAATAATAAAATACTAAAAATACTCTAAAGTATAATATAATATAAAATATAATTTCTTATGTATACATAAACTTTTTTTATAACAAAATTAATATTATACTATTTTTTTTATGATTATTTTTTTTCTTCATTATTATAATTAAATATATTTTTTTAAAAATAATAATAGTAATAAAATTATTATAAAAACCTTTATAATAACTTAAATGAAAGCTTATTTACAACTTTATTTATAGAAACTTTTACTATTATTATATTATTTATATTATTATTGTGTTGGGTTATATTATTTAGTATTATAATAATTATTATAATTATTCTTATATAAAAGGACCCTTCCTTAACGGCAGCTGTAGTAAAAGCAACGCTTCGCTATTGGCCAAAAGTGAATAGCACTAAAGAAGTTTTATTTCTTAACGAAATTGAAGAGATTTTAGAGGTCGTTGAAGAAAATGAATTCAAAAGTTATTATTATTATTGCTATTATAATTATTATTTATTATTATATAATTATTATTAAAACTGTTCATTTTTCACTGTAATTATATTTAAAGTTGTTTTATTATATATTCTATTTATTATTATTATAAAAACTTTTTATTTAGTATTATTTTAATGCAAAGTTTTTTTATACATTTATTTATTATTTATGATTCTATAAAACTAATTTACTTTGTATTATTATAATGAAATTTCTATAATATATATTTACTTATTTTGTTATTATAATTATATAGATATATTCTACTTGTTATTATTGCTATTATTATTTTAAGCTGCCTTTTTTATTTATTATTATGTAAATTTCTTTATTTATTATTATTCTGCAAACTTTTTTTATTTGTAAATCTTTTATTTATTTATTTATCATAATAATTTTATTACTATACAAATCTCTTTTAATTATTATTATTATTATATAAATATCTTTTACTTATTATTATTCACTCTTTTTTATATTATTTATTATTATTATAACAATCATAATCTAAATGTCTTTTACTTATTATTATTAATAATATAATTTTCTTTTTACTTATTATTATTTAAAGTTGGTTTATTTTGTAATTATTATCATAATATAAATCTCGTTTACTTATTAATATTACTATAATATCACTTTCTTGCACTTATTATTATAATTATTACCGTAATTAAAATTTTTTTACTTATTTTTATTATATGAATTTGTTTTATTATTAAAATAAAGGTAAATTCTTTTATTTATTATTATTATATTGTAAATCTCTTTAATATATTACTTATTATCATTATTTTTTCAAGCTGTTATGCTTCCCATATTTGAGCGGCTTGCCACGTGCACAGCAAGTCCACATTTTCAAGTATTTTTTTTTAGTATTACTATAAAATTTTTTATAAATAATTAGATTAATTAAAGTTTAAACAAAAATTTCATTATAAATTAATAAATTTTCTTAAAATAATAATGAAAAATTAAAAATTTTACTATGAATTCATATTAACAATATTTTAAAAAATTTTAAAAAAATATTCATAAATAACAAAAAAATTATAATAAAAAATAATAAACACTATTTTTAAGTAAATCCAAATCCAAACAAAAAATTTTATTACAAGTTAATATTAAATAATTTTCTTTTAAAAAATTCATAAATAAAAAATATTTTTCTAAATTAATATTAGATTATTGTTTTTTTAATATACATTATAATTCTTTAGTAAACGTAACTAGAACAAAAATATTACAAATAATAAATTGTTTTTTTCTAAAGAAATATAAATAATAAAATATTTATAAAAATTTAGATCATTTAATAATGAATTAACTTTAACATAAAAATTATAATATATTTTTAACATAAATTCTTCAATAATAAAATAATTAATAGAAAAATATTGTTAATAATTGATGCTAAATTTTTTTCAAAAAAGAATATAATAAAAATAAAAATTTATAAATAAAAAATAATTCTATTAATTATTAAAAAAATAAAAAACTAAATGCAAACAAAAACATTAATATTATTATGAATTGATCTAATAATTTTTATTAAGAAAAATTTATAAATAATAAACTACTTAAAAAATAATTTAACTGTAAATAAATATTAAATAATTTTTCAAAGAAAAATATTATAAAATTCAAACTTTACAAATAAAAAAGTAATACATATATAAAAGAATTTCTTTCTTGATAATTATTTATTTTTTCAAAAAAAATATATTAAAAAAATTGTTAAACATCAAATATTAAAAAGAAAGTAATAATAAAAAATTTTAACTAAAATAAATATTGATTATAATTTAATGTTAAACTGTTTTCTCAAAAAGATTATACTAAAAAAAATAAAATTTACAGATAATAAAAAATATCATCACTAATTAAAGTAATATACTTTTCATTAACTTTAAGCTAAATACCAAAAATTTAATTATAAATAATTTTTTTTTAGAAAGTTATAATCAAAAATAAATACTTTATAATAAAATTTTTTTTTACTCAACAATAAATTTGTTGTTAAAGAAAAATTATTATGAATTATAAAAAATTCATAAATAGGAAAAAATTTCAATTATTATAGCTTTTTACTGTTAAGAAAAAACTTAAACTAGAACAAATGTATAATTAAAATTACTATTAAAAATTCAGAATTATAAAAATATTTAAAATATAAAACAATTAACTTTTATATAAAGCAGATGGAAAGAAAAAAATTTATTATAAGTAAGAAAATTCTTTTCTTTAGAAAAATTGTAATAATAAAAATTTTATTAAAATTTAATAAAATATAAACTAAAACAAAATTGTATCAAAACTTATTATCAATTTTTTCTTTACGTATTATTTTCTGTAACTTTTTTTTTTAGTTTTGCTCATAATTTTCTTTAGTTTAGTATTTTTTATTATATTCAAAAAAAATAATATTTATAAACTTTTTTTTACTTTTTATTATAATGTTTATTTTATGTTTTTTTATTATATATAAAAAAATTTTATTTATATCACTTTTTTAAATTTTGCTTTTTTTTTTCTATACTATTTTAGGTGGCCGAAAGAGCGCTAAACTTTTGGAATAACGAATATGTTGTGAGTTTAATTCGTTTGCATTCTAAAGAACTTCTTCCACTAATGTTTAAAGGTTTTTTATTTTTATGTTAATAATAATAAAGTATTATAAATAATTAAAATAATAATAATATAAATAATAAAAACTTTTAATAATAATAATTATATATTATCATAAAAAGTTTTTATTTATAAAATATTAATAATGAAAAATTATTAATAATAAATGTTTTTTATAATAGTTATGATAATAAAAAGAACTTTTAATAATTATAGTAAAATATTTTTGTTAAATAATAAAGTTTTTTTTAATAATAATGAAAAGAACATTAAATAATATTAATAATAACAACATTTATAAGTAATAATAAGTTTTGTGGTAATAATAAATAAAATAATACCTTTTTAAAAATAATAGAGAAATATAAAAATAATAAAAAGATTTATAAGTATTATAATTTTTAATAATAAAAAGTTAGAGATAATATATATAAGAAATACCAAATAATGAGATTTTATACATAATAATACAAAATACAACTAGTAATCATTACTGGTAAAAATGTTATTATGTTTATTATAAGAAATTTATTGAGTCATAAATTTTAGTATTCGTATGAATCTTCATAGTAATTTCAACATTTATAATGGATTTTATGGAAATTAATTCATTTGTCTCACGATTATAAACAGAAATTTCTTTTTTTTTATAAGTGTAATGAATATTTCATATAAATGTTAGTAAATGTTGAGAAAATAATAATAATGACAAAATATTTATTCATTTATTTTTTTAATTTATTTTTAAAAAATTTTAAATGCGGAGCAAAAGGGGTAATTAAAAAGTTGTTTTATTTATTAGTGATTTCAATATTTATAATGAATTTTTTATATATTAAAATTACCCAAAGGTTGGGTAAATACGGAAAATATTCTAAAAGAATTTATAAATAGATATATATATATATATAAATACTTGATTATTGCATGAATTTTGGACAATTTATTATGCTGAGTTGATAATAATTATAAAGTTTTTATTTTTTTCATATTTTTTTACTGAATTATTTTTTTATTAATAATATTTATTTATATTTTTATAATTTTTTATTTATTTTTTTATTTTTTTAAAAATAAAATAATAAATGTAAAGTAAATAATAATAAAAAATAAAACTTTAAATAAAGCATATTTAATTTTTTGTTTATATAATAAAATATTTCATTATTATTATTCATAAAGAATTTAATATTTTTCTAATAAAATATTATTTGTCATTATTATTTATTTACTTTTTTTTACAATATTTTACTATTTTTTTATACGTTTTTATATAAATATTATACTTCATTATGAATATTTTTTAAATATAATCAATAATAATGGTAAAACTTTTTATAATGTATATTTTTTATTCATATTTATAATTAATTATTTTATTAATATTTTTTTTTTTTAAAATATTATAAAGAAAAAATATTTTTTACTTTATTATTATTATTATTATTCTCTTCTTTTTTTTAAAAAAAAATAATTATATATATTTATTCTTATTAAAATTTTCTTTTTAGCTTTATATAAAAGTAAGAACGTTTGCTGGAACGGGATGATTCAAGGCATGAAATTTAATGCGATGAGAATATTAATGCAAATGGACCAACAATTGTTCGAAAACTGCGTCAAAAATTATAAAGAAAATAAGTTTCGGTGTGTTTACTTTTTTTATCATTATATTATTATAATTATTATTATTACATTTTTTATATACGTTATTATATTATTTACTTTCTATTATTTTATTATTATTATTATTAGACTTAACATTTATTTATTATTATTCATTATTTTATTATTTTTTTTGATATATATGATATATATTTAATATTTATTTGTTATCATTATGTACTTTTCATTATTTTTTTTACTTTTACATATTTATAATTATTATTTACTTAATAATATTTTTTAATTAATATTTATTTAATACAATTATTATTTACTTTATCATTAAATCGTTTAATATTTATTATATTCTTAATTTTTTTTATATTTTATTTATATAAAAATCTATTTATTATTATTTACTTTCAATTTTTTATTTATCTACTTTTTATTATTATTATTTAGTTTTCAATATAATATATTACAATCTATTTATTATTATATTTATATACTTTTAACATAATATTTATTATTATTTATTTATTATTTATTTACAATTTACTCCTTGACTTATTATATCACTTAAGAATTATTATTTACTTTTAATATTTTATTTTATTTTTATAGTAGAATATTTATATAGTACTATTATATACTTTATAATAAAAAAGCTATATATTATTATCAACTTTATAATATAATATTATTTATTGTTTATATTATTATTTATTTTATTATCATTTATCTCTATTACTTTTTATTGTATACCATATCTATTCTTTTTTATTTATATTACTATTTAACATTTTCTATAACTATTTATTTTATTATTATTTATTGATTATTATTCATTATTATTTTTATTATTTATAAATATTTACTAATTTTTATAAATATTTTATTATCTTTATTTTTATTATTTACAGATTTTTGTGTTATTATCAGCAATATTTAATATATGTTTATTTTATTTTTTATATTTATTCATTATTTTTATTTACTATTATATAAATGTTATATTTATTTATTATGAATGAATTTATTTTTTTTAGTGAAAAAAATAAAAAAAAGTTTATGGAAGACTCGTGGGCTACACTGAATGATTTGGTAGTAACATTTATATTAAGATAATAATATTAAATAATAGTAAAAATATATCCATATAAAATATTTATAACAACAAAGTAATGAAGTTATTGAATATTAAATAGTATTAAAACTATAATAATATTAATAATAAAAATATATATTGAAAATATAGTAGTAGTAATAATTAATAATAATAAATAATGAAATTATAATAAAAAATTAAAAAATATAATATAATTAATAAATTATAGTAAAAAATAGTTAATTATGAATATGAATAACAATTGATATTAATAATAATTATATGAAAATAATTAATAAGTAATAGTAAAAGAATAAGCAATGGATAAATTATAGTTAAAGTAATAATTAATAAAAAAATCTAATAAATAATAATATTAAGATTAACAGAATTAAAAAATAATTAATAATGAATATGGATAATAATTCTAATAATAATGAATGATAAAAATATAGTAATTAATAATAATAGAAATCAAAAAATTATCTCTTTAATGAATAATAGTAGAAATAATTCATAACGAGAGTATAAATAGTAGTTTTAATTAATTAATAAATTATAAAAATATAAAATGTATAATACTAATACTTAAAAAAAATAATATAATTAATGAATTCTAGTAAATAGAAATAATAATGAATATAAATAATAATAATAATAGAAATTGAATAAAATAATATTATTAATAATTAATAGTAAAAAAAAGTAATAATGAATATAAATAATAATTTCAGCAATAACAAAAAATAAAATATAATTAATAATAACAAAGTAGAAATTAAAAAAATAAATAAATAATAATTACAACTATAATTAATAATTAATAATAAAAATTGGAAAAATTAAATAATAGTAATAATAAGAATAATAAATAAAAAAATTAGATAATTAGTTATTAATAGTAAAAATAATTTATAATGAATATTAATAATTTATATAATTATAGTAATAAATAAAAATAATGAATAAGAAAAACTAAAAAAATTTGGTAACTAGAAAACTTTTTTATTTATATAATAAAAATAAATAAAATAAAAAGTTATGAAGAGTAAAAATAATAATATAAAGAAAATGTTTTCTATTTATTAAAATATTATTATTACTATTTAGTATTAATTATTAATATTAATTGATGAGGCTTCTGAAAATCCGCAGTATACTGTTATTTTACACCGAAAAAGAAACTTTTCTCCGTATAGCGCACTTCTTAAGCAGGTTTTATTACTATTACTATTATTATTTCAAACTTTTACTTATCAATAATTTTTTTTTATAATAAAATTCATGTAAATTATATTATCCTTTCAAATAATTCGAAAAATTGAAGAAATATAGATTTTATTGTAATAAAAAAGTTTATTAATTTTAAATTAAAAAATATATATTATAAATTCATTATAATAAAAAATTTAAATAAAAATTGTATAAAACTTTTTTATTTACAAAAAAAATAATATAAAACTAAAAATATTATAAATTTTAATTACGAATTTATTTTATATTTAAAGAAATAATCAGAAAATAAAATTATTTGTTTTCGTTTATTTATCATATAAAATTATTTATACTTTTATTATTTTTATATAAATAATAAAGAAAAAATTATAAGAAAATTTATTATCAGTTTTATTTTAATTAAATTTTTATATTTTTTTTTATAAAAATAATAAAAGTTAAAAGATATTTATATATACTTCTATCAATATTATTTTTAAGTAAATATAAAATAAAAATAGTTTAAAAACTTTTAATAAGAAAAATATTTTATATAAAAATAAGTAAAATATTATGTGAATTTCTTTTTATATAAGTTAATAATTTTTATTAAATTACTGTTTAAATTTTATTTATAAACAATTTAGATTTCACATTTTAAAAATTTCCTAGCAAAAGTTAATTTTTTTTATTTTTCTCGATAAATAATATATATTTTTTAAAATATTGTTTTACAAATTAATTTTCTTTTGTTAAATTTTTATAAAAATAATAATTTTTATAATATTAAGTTTTCCATTTAAAAAAATTAATAGTAAAAAAATAATTTAATTTTTTATAAAAAAAAAATTGTTTTACAACTTGAAAGTTTTAAAATTTTTTGATTAAATATTTCTAAATACTAAATTTTTACAAAAAAATTAAATTTTATATTTAAAAAAATATAACAGTTAAATTTAATAATTTTGTTAAAATGTTTTACAACTTAAACGTTTTATAGTAAATTAATAATTTCTTTTAAATTTTTATCAAATTTAATTTTTACTTAATTAAATTTATCAGTAAAAGTCTTTTATTTTGTAACTTTTTTATAATAAATTTTTTAACAAAAAATTGTTTAAAGTCAGTTAATTATTTTATTCCGTTTCCTATTAAAAATTAAATTTTTTTTAATGAAAATTTACATTTTAAAATTTTAACAGTAAAACTTTATTATATTTTATTTTTTATATTAAAATAAATTTAAAAAAATTGTTTTATAAGAAAATAAATATTTTTATAAAATTTATATGAAAACAAAAATCTACAGTGAAAGTTTTTAATTTTTTTAACTAAAATTTTAAAAAAAATGTTTACAGTGAATTTAATTATTTTTACTATATAATTATTTATATAATTATTATTATCTTTTATACTTTTTATATTAATTTATGTGTTATTATAATAACTTTTTAATAAAATTTTAAAGTTTATTTTATTAGTGTTATTGACTATAAATTTACTCATCTTAAAAAGTTAATAACTTTTAATTTTTAATAAATAATATATAAAACTTTTTTTTACAGTAAAATTATTTATTTATTATAAAATTTATACTAAAATAAAAATTTTTAATCAAATTTCACAAAAAAAGTAGTTTATAATTTAAAAATTTAATTTAATTTTTTTAAATTTTTTTATAGCTTTCTCGCTGTTCTTCTGAATATTATAAAAATCTCGTTGAAGAAAAATCTTCTAGCGAAGAGGAAAGCGAAAATGAAGAGCTTCTCGAAGTTTTGTATAACAAAAGTGATCACGACCTTCACAAAGATGACTGTTATGAAGGTCTTAACGATTCTGAAGAGGAAATTTGTTTTGAACTTGCTAATAAATCAACAGTAGAGGAAGCCGCCGACCGCTTTGAAAAACTGACTTTAGACGAAAAAGAATTGAACTAAAATAATTTAAAAATAATAATTTGATCTAAAAAAATCTGCTGACAAATAAAAAATAGATGGTAGCAATACTTTATATAATGAGTACACGAATTTTTTTTCTTATATAGATTTTTTATAATAATTATTGAAAGTCGTTAATTTTTAAATTATTTTAAATAAAATTTAATAAAGATTAAAAAAAAATAAAATTAATGCAAAAGAAATCAAAAGTAATAATAAAAAAATTAATTTTAGGAATAATTTATCCAATAAAGTTCAAGTTTGTTTTCCTTTAATAGATTTTTAAAGTTTTTAAATTTTAGTTTAGAAAAATAAAAATGAAATTGCAGACCAAAAATAATGTATATAAACTTTATTAGAATGGAAGATTTTTATAATGTTATATATATTATTAACTTACTTAAAAAAGTCTCTAGAGACAATATTATCTGAATCGATTAAATTTTAGTTTTTTAATATTAATTGATATTAATGTCCAAAATTCTAAGTATAGAAACTTTACTTTTACAAAGTTCCCAGAGAATTTTATAAATATTTGAATCTGTTTAAAAAATTAATTTTTCAAAATTAATTTGAATTACCAAAAATTAAATATAGAAACTTTATTATAGTGAAAGATTTTTTAAAGATTTCTTATTCTTATAATCACAGTAGTATTAGTTACTGTATGAATTTAACACTGAGCTCAAAATAATTTTTCTAATTTTTTCTTTGCAAAACACTTTTTTAAAGTCTATATAACTTTCATCTATAAGAAATTAGTTTTACCTTCATAAACAAAATTTAAACACTTGAAAAACTTTTTATTTCCTTAATTAAGTTCAAAGTTATCGGTTATTTAGTACTTTGGAAAAGTATCGATCTACGCTGAGCAGAATAAATTTTTTGTTTGGGTGTACATTGAAACTGAAATTATTATCATTGCTTCCTGGTTTCGTTAAAAGAGATAAGAAAAAATTTAGATTTGTCGAGAAACCATTTCTACTTTATCTTTAGTACATAAGACTAGACGTTAACCATAATATTTCTTAAGCATAATGTGAATGCAAATATTTAACTCTAATTCTTTATGAGTTTCTTATAAAATTAAGAATAAAATACGTTTATTTTATATAATTTTTTCATAATTTCTGAATAGAAACATAAATTTTTGTAACAATTTTTTTTTACAAGAGCAATTACTTACACCTCGCAATTTATTATTATAAAGATTTTTTATAAATAAGTTGATGCCACAAAAAAAATTAGTAAATAAGAATCTGTGTAGCCCTTAATTATATAGCATCTGTTGAAGTTTTACGAAATTAGTTCCACCATAAAGTTGGATGCAGTTTTTTAACATAATTTGCTTAATATTGAATTCAATAGATTTATTATTATAATTCAATTAAATTAATTGAGTTGTAAAAGAAATTTACACCACCGAATTAATTTCAATGCTAAATTTAAAATTTTATAAATAAAACTTTTGAAGGATACAATTCAGTTCAAGAGCACCCCTTAAACTAGCACAATTTATAATTTAAATCTGTTTACTTAAAAAAATCTGTTTTCCACACTTTTTCAAACTTATTAACTTCAGCATTCTTTAGTATATAAAACTTCCTGATAACTGACTAATATTTCGGACGTTAAGTTTAAAGCATATACTTTTTTTTAAAATTTTTCTTCGGCTCCAACCCAAACTGTGCATCTATCCATTTTATTATGCTTAAAATTATGTTTTTTAACTTTTTTAATTATGTTTAGCCTTTTTACATCCCTTACTTGACTGAACTTGTTTTTGTTGTCTTTGCTGAGGCGTAGTAGCTTGGTTTAATGTAATACTTTTGAATAACGCTGTCATGATTTTAAAATTTTTTTTTTCTATCATGCACTACTTCGTTTGTTTTTAGAATTATAATACCCATATTTAACTAACTAGTTTAAAAAAATATATTATGTATATATAATTATAATTTTAATTAACAAGTATTATAAACTTTAAGCATGAACGTTTTACATTGCCTTTCTCTAAGCACATTAAAAGTTTTAAAATCTTTTTATCCATAAACGAAACTGTACAAGCTATTGCAAAAATATTCGGTTGGTTTGGTTTTTTTGTAAAAGTAACTTATGACAAAGATGGTTAAAAAAATCTAATCAACTTTATTAATATGTAAACGTTTGAAGTTTTTTTATTTTTTTTTTACACTGCCCACTCAAGTTAAGTACGCAGGGCACATTTTGTTCACTAATCAGTACTAAAGATGTGTCTTTCCAAGTTTCCTACTGTTTTCATATTTTTTTTCACATAATGATTTTCTCCTATGAATTAATAAAGATTCACACTAGATAAATTTTAAGTTAGCTTAGAAAGTCTCGAGAAAGAATAATTTTTTTATACATATATCTGAATAAAAGGAATGACTATTTTGTTCTTGTAAGCCACGAAACAATTGTTACTCACTAGCTCGTAGTATTCTTTCTAAATTATCTTTAATATCACAAACGATTCAAGTATACACATCATAAAGTATTATCTGATAGCTTTACCAAAATTGTTTAAAATTTTTCTTTGTAAACTGTATTATAAATGCTTCAGCCTGCTACTAGAAAGGAAAATAATAAGATATCTTTAATCAAATAATAACTATTAAGTAATTAAGCTAGTATTGTTGAGAGGTTTCAAGATATAATAATACTTTTATTAAAAAAAATGTAATTGAATGAATTATTGCACGTTTTATTGAAATAAACGTCATAATTAACGAGTTGGCAAACTTAGTACCATCTTTACTTGGTATAATTTTGTAAATAAAATGCAGTTTTTTTAAAAAAAAACCAGTTATTAAAGATTTTTATAATGATTTTCAAACAAGGTTGCTGCTAGCAGTCCTGTTTTGCCAAGTCTTTATAAAAATTAAGGATTAATTCCAACGATGCATTCAAAATTCCCGTGTAGCTCTATCCCATCTTTTTTAAATATACAATTGTAAATTTTTTTTGAGAAATTTATAACCCTTACATTAAAAAATATAGCCTATTTCACTCATTCTTTATTATATAACCTCTTTAATAATATTTTCTCTAAACTCGTGGTAACTGTAAAAATCTTTCTTTCCAAACTGTTAAATCCCATTATAGAAACAATTATAAAAAGGAAAAATATTTAATTATAAGACCTATAAAAAATATATATATATATTTTTTTTAAAACTATTATAAATCTTTCATAACTGCAGAAAATCACTTCAACTTTGTCAGCCCATACAAACTTGTTTTTATAAAACGGGGGCTATCTGATAAGCATTGCTTATCGCTCATGCTTAGCTTATATGAATAATTTTTATGAACCAGTAAGAAACTGCGGTTATTGTTTGTTTAGATCTAAATAAAAAGATAAGATTGTTCTAAAGTAAAAAGAACAAAGAAATTTTAGAAAGAAAAATTATATTAACGATTCAAATAACTAACATACTAAGCCAACCAGTGATAATAAAAGAGCTAAATTCTAAAAGTTTTCCTTTATTTGGTTTTAAATGCATTGTAAAACTATTGTCTTTAACCAATAAAATATTTTTTAAGGTCAGTATTTAGCTTATTTATATCTTTATAGTCACAAACGACAAACCTTTTTATATCAAGAGAAACAGTTTTATAGTATATAGCCCCAGTATTGAACTTTTCTGCTTATTATCGTTCTTTTCTAATAACCAACCATGTTTCAAACAAAACATAAATATAATATGAAGCCTCTTGTCTAACCGTTGATAATATCTCAGCAAAAAATTTAAATTTACAACCAACATTGATTAACAATTCTTCTATTGACAATAAAATAAGCGCCTAAATATTTATTGTCTGATTTTTATATCTTTCCAATCAGCATCTAGTTTTTTTTAAAAAACGGAAGAAGTACATCAGATTTCACGTTACATTGTTATAACAAGGAGTTTGATAAGATTGAAGAAAAAATAATTGTAGACTTTCGATGGATATAAACAACTTTTAAATTGAGGGAAAAATATTTGATTAACATTTGCGTCGTAGGTTTTTAAAAATTTAATAACTGACTTCAAAACTACAAAAGGTTTTAATGAATTTATTTTTGTGTGGATTCTAAACTTTATTCCTAAGCAGAAGCATTAAGTTTACATCGTTTGGTCCCTGAAGTACTAACCTAAATAAATGTACTGTACAACAAATCTAGTTGAATGTTTAAATGTTGTTAAGCATAATTAATTTTTGGCAACTTTTACATTACTTAAAAACACCAAAAAATTAAAAGGTTTTTCTTTTTTAAGTAAAATCCATTTGCATTATTAAAGTAAGCTCGATAATAAAATTTACCTTTTTTAAGTAGCTTTTTTGGTTTAATTATTTTTTACCAAAAGATTATTTTATAACCTGCAAAAAGCGAAAAAGGTGTACGAGCACAGTATATATAGGGTTGTTATTAACAAGATTAAATTTTAATATATGTGCGTTTTTTTATTTAAGCATCTATCTTAATTTTTTACTACGCAATTTTGTATTCTTTTCTACAAAGGAATATACTTAGATATTAACTTTTTCTAACTTTAAACTTTTTAAATTCAACATATTGGGCGATACGCTTATTTTGCATTATTGATTGCCCTCTCTTTTCTTATATTCCAGTTTTTGTTAAAAAAAAAATTTTTTTGCGCGGTATATAAAAATTTTTTCCTTCCCGCCTGAATTGGCTGCTTCCTTTTTCCTTTGTACCGTCTGGTGCTGCTTTTGCTTTTTCTTTCGTTGTGTAATAGTTAATATAGCAGTTGAAAGGTGTTAACATTTTTTTCTTACAATATTATTAATTTTACTGCAAGAAAAAAAAAAAATAGAATTGGTTTTTATTAAAAAAAAATCGCTTCTGTATATTTCTTCTAACTAAGTATCTTTTTTTCTAATTAGACTCTTTTTTATTACCTTCTTCCTAATCTAGAAACAATGTCTGAAGAAGCTGACAAGTATAAGTTTCTTTGTAGGCTTAGCGATTCTGCTGAACGGTAAGCTTTTTTGCCCTTTTTAAAATTTAATTATTACTCGTATACTTTTTACCGTTTTTCTGTTTTTGTTTGTTATAACTTATTTTTTATCCGGCCTTGGCTTTTCTCTATAAAGCCATATGGATATGCTTTATTACATAAAGAAAGTAGTAGAAGTTTCTGAGGGGGCTGAATTCAATTCTGAAGAGAGAAATTTACTTTCAGTCGCGTATAAAAACATAATTTCTCCTAAACGCAACGCCTTAAGAATATTTTGGAGTTTAAAAAATAATCCTAATAGCAAAAATATGGAAAAAGTTATCGACTGGTATATTGGGTTAGTTCACACTGTTCTAATTTTTCTAAAAAATTTAAAATTTAAAAATTAATTAATATTTTTAAGTGTTATTAAAAGCGAAATTAGAGAAGTTGTTAGCGACGTTCTGCAAATTACTGAGCGACTCATGGAAAGGTGCAGTACTACTGAAGGGAAAATTTTTTTCATGAAGATGCAAGGTGACTACTATCGCTACTGCGCGGAATGCGAGATGGGCGATTTGGATAGAAGCGAATTAGAAAAAAATAACTTGAAATTAAGCGAAGAAGCGCTGAAGGCTTCAAAAGATTCAAACGAGTGTTATCAGCAAGCTTACGAATTAGCAGTCGCGGAATTGCCTCCCGCTCATCCCATTCTTTTAGGTTATAAAAAAAAATTAAAATTAACTTAATTAATTTAAAAAAATTAAATTCATTTTTGACATTGAAATCTCTTTATATATATGAAAAAAGGATTGATTTTGAATTATTCTGTGTACTTTTTTGAAATTGTCGGGAATGTTTCTAAAGCTTGCGAGCTTGCGCAAGAGGGATTGAACAACGCGCTGAACACTCTAAATTCCGGCGACGAGTACAAAGATTCTTCCGTCATCTTGCAATTGATCCGCGAAAATTTGGCCTTTTGGGAAGGCAGCGAAAGGAAAACTGATGAAGAAAATGAAGGTGACACGGCAGGAAAAAAAGATGACGAAAATGCGGTAGAATGCAGAAAGGAAGAAGAAGCTGACGTTTAACGTTTTTATGTGTGTGAAAAATAAAATAATAAAAAATAATTTTTTTCTTTGAAATTTTCAATTTACTATGTAAAAATATATAAAGTTGGAGGTGAACGGTAAGAAAGAAGAAGCAGACGCTTGACCTTTTTGTGGGCGTGGAAAAAAAAAATCTAACTTTTATTACAAAGTAAATTTGTCTGTGTGTGGAAACTTTCAAAAATAAATATTTAACTTAAAATTTAAATTAACTGTGTAAGTTAAGAGTTTAAGGTAAACAGCAGCAAAAGAAGAGGAAGCAAACGCTTTACTTTTGTGTGTGTGTGTGGAAGTAAAGTGTAAAGTATAACTATTTAAATTTCTTTGTGTGCGGTAAAAAGAAATAAAAAAGGTTTATAAGTTTAATTTTTTTTTCGATGAATTACTATTTACTGTGCAAACTAATAAAGGGCTGGAGTTACACGGCCCTAGCAATATATTAAACATCCGAGACAGCCGCTTATCTTTTTTTTGCGTAAAAAATAAATAAATAAATTTGTGTACGGAAAGAAAAAATATGAGTTTTTTTTTTTTTTAAATAACTTCCTTTTGGGTAAGTTATAGGTAGAGGGCGCTAAAAAGATCTTTTAAGGAGGCAGGCGCTTAACTTTTATGTGAGAAAAAAAAAACCAAAATATCAAAGCAAAAACTTAAATTTTTTCAAAAATACTATTTGTTGTATTTGTAGACAGTTAAAAGTAGGCGGTAAGAGCTTAACTTTTATGTGTATGTGAGAAAAAAAAAATTTAAGAAAAAGAAATAGTAACTTTAAATTTCTAGTGTGTGGTGAAAGTATAAAAAATTAGAAATAATTTGATTTTTTTTTAAATTTAAAATTTACCGTAAATTTATAGATTTGGATGTAAAACGCGCTACACAAAACAAGAGAAGGCAAACGTTTAACATTTTTAAATAAGCGTTTATAAAAATAGATAGTAATAAAAAATTTAATCAATTGAAAGTTGTACCCTAATTTTTTCTCTGCTTTTATTTGTATGAAGCATATAGATTTAAAAATCGTATATAAAATTATAAATCTAAAGAATAAAACTACTACTTAGTGGTATTTTGTACCTAAAGAATTAAATAATTTTCGATATTTTGTATATAAAGAATAAAATAATTTTCGACAATTAAAAAAAAAATACTATTAGTTTATAATTAAATATTCTTGTTTACATCTTTAAAAATATAGTTTAAGCTTTTTATATAGAAATTTTGTAAACTGTATATAGTTTTAATATTTAAAAGATCTATAGAAAGTTTGTAAAGAGATTTTCTTTTACTAATTCTCTTCGGGTTAACCTATACGAAAAAGAATTTTGTCAGATAAATTATCTATACTTATATTAAAAAATTAACAGTAAAATTGTTTTACATTATTACATAATGTTTAAGTTTTAAAATAAGGGTTTAAAAGAAGTATATAAACTCAACTCTTTATCTATATCCAAATATTATATGAGATTGTCTAATTACTTGCATATAAAAGTACTGGTCATCTTTTTTTTTATATTTCTATTGATGATTGAAAGGTTTATTAAAAAAATATTTTGGTCATATTGTCTATAAAATAAACTGATCTAATATTTGAAAAAATAAAAATAAACTTATTAAAAGTAGAGTTAAAAGGTAACTCTCTGAATTTGTGCTTTAGTATAACTTTTTCTATAAATAACGCTAATAATGAGGAGCAGGACGGATAATAAAGCAATCTCAATAGACCAACTATTCTTTAAAGTTTTTAAAAATTTTATACTTTATTCCCCTTTAAAGTGAAAGAAGTACTTGAAGATAAGTTAACTTTAATTCACTCTTTAAAATTTGAGAATATATAGATTATTTAAAAGTTGGTGGGTTCTACTACTAAACTGCGCTGTAGTTTCTTAGTTTTGCCAAAAAAAAATGTTTATTTGTTAGTTGCGGTTTTACATTGTAAAAAATAATTCTTGAAACCTCTTTTTATTAAAGAAACTTATATCAAGCAGTTTTTTTATTATAGAAAATATTAGACTGTTCAATAATACTACCGTAATGTTTAGGTAAATTTAACAACGCGTTCTCTCAGTGATCTACAAAATTGAAGAGAAAGTATGACATAAAAGTTTGGCATGAGATCTTGCTTTAAGTGAAATTGACAGGAAGCAATTAAGTAAAAAAGCAAAAACATAATCCTGAGATGGGCCAACTTAAAATCTCAATAACAAAAATAAAAGCTACTATAGCTATAACTTGATATAAAAAAGAAAGTTATTATAAATAATATAATTTTTTTCCCTTAATATATTTATTTTCTCTGGATAGTGAAAACAAAAATCCATGATAGAACTTTATTGTGTTATTTTTCAAGTTTGGATTTTTTTTTTTTTAGGGCTTTTGATAAATCATAAAGTTTACTAAAATATTGTATTAAATACTCGGCGCTTTAGTGCATTCACGTCCATATTGTAGGTTAAATTTCCCTCTAATACAACGGTGGGACAACCTCCCTGTCCTAGCGTGCCACGTTACCTGACTACCTTTGGGTTTCTCTTACATTCTTCAAAAACATAATGCATGAACACCCCTGCCCTACTATTTCCTCTGTTTTGAATAAAAGGAAAAAGAAATTACTCCTTTAATGTTTCAGATAAATTTTGTCAATGATTCTATACAAATAAATATTAAACTAACAACTACTTAAGTTATCCTACTTAAATTTAACCTTGAACTAAAAACCGCCACATTATCAAACCCAGATAATTTTGTTATAGGGTATGGTAAAGAAAATGTAAACATACTTAGGTTTACAGCAATTTTTTTTTTATAATATTAAGAAACTTGCACTCAAATATTAACAAGGCCTTTATATCTTCTTCACCTGTGTCAATATTTCAGTGTTGAAATCTCTTGTGGAGTCAAAAGGAATAAGATTTTTTAAATGTTCGTCGGTTAATACCTGCGCGATTTTTATTCTATATAAAATTCATAGTTAAAAAATGTTTTCCCACCAAAATAAGTCGAGCCAAATCTACGAGAGTAGCGGAGCGCAAACTCAAAATTCAAAAAATTTGGCTTGAAAAGCAATTTCCAAAACGAAGCAAACTTTCGGCTTAAATTTTCCGTTCAATGCCACGTGATTTTGTAAATCCGAAATTTCCACTTGGAGGTGACCTGGATATATAGCAACTCCGTTAAGTAAGAAACAAAAAAAAATCCCCTAGGAAGCCACTTCAGTCTTCCGATTTGGACACCACCCTTTGGGAGAGTCTCTTCTGCTGTTTTATTTGGAGCTCTTAATTACAAGAGCCCTACATGGAACAGCTGAGCTAAACTCGGATGGTCCCATCCTTGAGCCCATCGAGCGATTTGTCTTGCCTATGACCGTTGGATCGAACCTTTCGATTCTTCATTAAATTTAATACACTCTTCATCGGGCGTAACGATTCCTGTGCTGTCTCCAGAGACACGTAGTAAAGAAGTCTAAAAAGATAGAACCTATATATATAATTTGCGCCTCGCTTCGATGTTAGTCCTTGCGGGCACCCGTGGGTTACAGTCTAAGGTGCTCAAAAGGTGCTCATCCTAAGGTGCGTGCGAACGTAAGCATAAAATTTTACGGGTCATGGCACCCTCTGCTTTCCAAAGAGTCAACTTTGATGTTACTTTACACCGAAACCAGTCAAACTTTAACATCATTTTGACGCAAACCAACAGAACATAATTATGGTACCTTATTGTAATTTGCTCTGGGCTGAGGGTTGCATTGCGTAGGAAAGTTCTAAAGTTGCAATAACTAGCTAACCTGAATTTAAATCAGGTTATGTTAGAAACGCACGGCTGGAAATAGTTGCACTTAAAAATGTTAAAAACTCGAGGCAGGCTTAGACCATTGGCAGATGACATCTTCCCTGTGACATTCTAACAACATGGCTATTATTCTGCCTTGGGCTTTATGCCTTCGGATTCATTAACTAAACTTTTCTGAAACGACTTTTGGCTCTTTTGATTTGAAACCTAAAGGCTAATTAACCTTGTGGAAATAAAACCTTCGCGTTTACTACTAGCATTGACTTCTGAAGTAGTCCTTCGTTATCTGCTTAAGGAGAACGGACGCAGTTAACACATTCACTATTAAATCGTTAACGAACTTAGCCAAGTTATGCAGGAAAACTATTAGATAGCAGCGAATAGGTGCGACCGAAAGCGAAATACTAGAAGCTCTGCATAAAGAGTGAATGCTTTACTAGGATTATTGCCTCTTTCCTGGCAGCTTGTGGTGGATTCTTGTCTAGTCCGCTGCCGGTATGTGATGATGCTTTTTGCCACATTTGCCCGTGGAGAATAGAGTTGTTACTATATAGTCCTAGGTACTATATATACATCCGGCGAACTTAAGGATATACGTCTCACTACGACAATCGAAGCTCTCCATGGGCTGTCCTCCGGTTACCTCTAGTTATCCTCGATTTAGAGGATGAGAAGGGCAACCAAAGACCAATACCCGTATTTTTACCGACTGGGACAAATAAGCTGATGTATAAGAAATCACGCTGCCGCCTTGTCCATGACTTCCGCCCACGCCCGCCCTGCTGGATAATGCTTTTTCCTTTTCGAAACCGCATTGAACATGACTCACATTACTGCCAGGATAACGCGTGAGGTAACCTGCCGCCCCGATCGCCTGCCTGACGTACTAAAGGCATTTATCTACCCACGTCGAGTCGAGCAACCATGTTGTCGCAGAGCGCCAAAGACAAACTTGCCCTTAATCGACTTCACAAAATTCATTAGAAAAAAGCTAATGAATGGGAGAGCGAACTGCATCGTATATCAGAATCAGGCAGCAGCATCCGCTCCTCCTTTTGGAATTTTGTTACAAGGACCAAAGATCGGGGCTGGCACCACTACCCCCTCTTCGTGAAGGAAATGTATAGTCGCCGAGAGTGATGGAGATAAAGCTATGCTTTTCACAAATGTTCTTGCTATCCAAAACGTGCCAGCTGCTCACCATACTGGCAGTGGTGCGTTCCCTCAGCTGAGCTTACCCCTCCCCG